ATGACGAAGGAATTCATGAGGCTCTGTCAAATCCAACAATAGTTATTTATTATACAAGGGAGAAAAGTAGTAGATTTCAGCTCCAGGTTGTGCTGAGACAAAAAATCGTGAGCTGAAATCTAATATTTTTTCCGTGTATAATACACTATTTTTTTTCTGTGACAGAAGAAAGGGCGAATCAATACTGAGAAGATATCACATTATTTTGAAATCTGAAAATTATCGTTGAGAAATTTTAAGTTTTTAACAGTAGGGTCACCTGCGTTGTAGGCATCTGTATCATTCTTTTGAAGTAATCAAATATCTGATGTCAGTTCTGTCAGTTCGATTCTGTGATTTGATTTCAAAAAATTGCGAATTCAGTGGTTGTTTAGTAATATACGTAACCGCAAAGTCGAATGGAAGATAAAAGGACTTGCAGTTCTTTCTCGGAGACGGTATTATTGACTCATTTTTCGGATGAAAGCACATCAAATGCCATCAACAGTGTATGTGATATATATCCGGGAAAGAAGTACTCACTTTTTTCCCACAGGAAAAAAGTAATTTATGAAAAGTGACATTGTATAACTTGCCAACAGAGGAGATGAAATGCCAAACTTTTTTCCCGTCACAGAAAAAATACATTTTCATCATTTTTGACCTACATTCTTCCTTCATTTAATAAATTGACAAAGGAGTTTTTGGATTTTTTACGCATTATGGTTTTATTATACCATTCGAACTTACATATTGATGCGCAGGCGTGTACAAAAGCTCGTACATTCATGATTCTTCTCGATTTGAATATTAAGAATATGCAATTCCTCGTATTCAGTTATCGCCGCACAAAACCACGTATTAGACCGCTTCCTTCAGTCAAGAGGTTTTGTATGCATATCTTCATTTGTCAGGAGTACGGAAGGTGATTTGTACGTATTATTGCAACTTGATCTTAGCCGTGTATAATCTGCATTTTGTGTTGTTGATTTTTGTTTCCTGCTTCAGAGCAAATTTGTTTGCCTGACAAATATATCAAGGGTATTGAAATATTGTGCCTATATCTAAAAATATTCAGAATCTATAAATGCAGCGCCATCTATTGGGATTTCTCAGATTCACTCTTTCAAGTATGTGTATCTCTTTCTAGAGAAATAAAGGCAGTCTTTTTACTGAGTTTCACAGGAGAGCTATTGTGTCTTATTATTCCCGGTTTCTTCACAAAAATCAACAGGTTATGTGCCCAGAACGATAGTCGGTGAAAATATTGTTGATACGAGTTATAGTTCCGTTGTTACAGTAAAGAAAAGACTTATTTATACTCCGTAAATCGCAAGTGTGTGCACGTGAAAGAGGCTACAACGACCAAGGACGTTTGGGACACACTGAAGGATCTGTATGAAAACAAAGTATTCACGGGAAAAATATCTCTTCTCTGTAACCTGATTTCATTAAGGTTAGAGAGCTACTAGTCAATGGCAGAATATGTCAACGAAGTAATCGAGACTTCCCAAAAACTTGGTCGGACAGGACTCAAACTTGATACGTCATTGGTTGGAAGCTTACTTTTGGCGGGATTACCAGGGACCCAATTCTCAAATGGTGACTTTAAGAAGTCGTATGCGACTATGACGATTTGGCAAGCGAAATTCGATAAATAGTATTCTCAAAACTCGTGGACGAAAATTCTATGACGACAAATTTACGAGTGGTCATAAGCATTCGCCAATTGAAATCGTATACGAATTTTCGTTGTAGGTGAGGTTATGAACATTTTGTTTATAGTTGCATTAGTTGCTCTATGAAAATGATGGCTGAAGAAATGGAACTCTTAGCTGCAATTGAAAATTTAGAGAATCAGGAAATTGCAGGTCAGCATCAGAGAGAAAGGCATATTGCCAGAGATGCTTTCAGATTATCTGATAAAAAATTTATAAAGACTTATCGATTAACAAAAGAACTGACAAGACAGCTGATTGAAAGTTTAGAACCCCATGTGATACAAGGACATCATGCTTCCTCCTTATCAGTACAAGAAAAGGTAAGGATCTATTCAATAATTGTTGAATTTGACTATCATCAATTTTCAATCAGTCTGACCTACCTATATTATTCCAGGTTCTCATTTCACTCAACTTTTATGCAACTGGTTCCTATCAAAGCAATGTGGGAGACAATAAGAATATGGCAGTATCACAATCATCAGTTAGCAGATCTATTGCTCAAATAACATCAGCTTTGAATCAGCCAGAAATGTTTTCAAGATTCGTTAAGTTTCCTAGAAATATAGAGGAATTAGATGTTTTGAGAAGAAGGTATGTGATATTTTGAAGTATTGATGATTTGACTTAACAACAACAACCTATAAAATTAATGATATAATACTACTCTATATTTTGTGTTTCAGATTCTATCATTCTTTTGGTATGCCTGGAATTGTTGGCTGTTTAGATTGCACCCATGTTGCCATTGTACCACCTAAAACAAATGATCCCATAGCCCCTGAATATGTATTTGTGAACAGGAAGAATTATCATTCAATTAATGTTCAGCTGGTAATTTTTTTAATTGGATAGCTAATTCACTGAAAGCAAACAGGAAAAATAACCAATAATAATATGATACCATTAAGATTCAATCAACTACATATTTCTGTGGATCCATGATATTGTTTGGCTTTGTTTCAGATTTGTGATGATGCTTTGAAAATCTTGAATGTTAATGCCAGATTCCCAGGAAGCACCCATGACACTCATATTTGGAACAACAGCAATGTGGAACAATTATTTGTTAATTTTTTCCAGAGGGGGATTGAAGGATATTTTCTTCTTGGTAAATTTTTTGGATAAAAATCCTGAAGCATGAATGAAATATAACTGAGAAGTAGTTGTTTTGAAATGCCAAGCAAATAAATTTCATTTCTAGGTGACTCAGGCTATCCTCTGCGTCCCTGGCTCATAACACCATTGCAGAATCCACAGAGTGAAGAAGAAGAACTCTTCAATGAAGTACAAAAAAAAGCCAGGTGCTCAATTGAGAGATGTAATGGTCTGCTCAAAATGAGATTTAGATGTCTTTTGAAACATAGAACTCTACATTATTCCCCACAAAAATGTTCACAGATTATAAATGCATGTGTAGTGCTGCACAACATGTGTATTGAGAATAATGTAGAGTTATTGTTGAATGAGGATGAAGAGCAAGAGGAAATAGATTTGGGCATACTCCCTGGTGTAAATTATAATGAAAATGATAGACGCAACCCATTATTAGTACAGGGTCTCAGGGTACAGAGAAGATTGATAAATCATTTCAGATAAAAAGTTGATGTGTATTTGAAAAAATTATTATTGAATAAACATAAAATGGAATCTTCTTGCTCAGTACATCAGTTGTTTCATACCCTAAACAATCCCAAAACTAATTAACATTTCCAATGTAGCTTAGAGATAACACTGAAATAAAGGAAAAAATAAACACAAAAAACTAGGAATACAGGTGCATCATTCAGGTACATGTTTCATGTCTGGGAAGGTGTTCAAATGTTTTTATTCTTGAGAACTTCCACAAGATTTTCCACTGCACAGACTTGTCTCTCTAATAAAATCAATTTCTTATGTAAATATTCTTCTTTTACTGCTAACTTCCTCTTGGCTATGTCAGCTAAAGTGGTAGTTGCAGTTGCACTGGACAAAAGACGTTGGCTGGCCACAGTCCTCTTTGTTTTTGAAGGATTAAATGATATATCTGATTCCAATGTATTTGGAATAGAATAAGTATGCTCTGAGTTTTCAGCCAGATTTCCAAGATCCTGGAGGTGAGTATCATTCTGGCCAATTTCCACTACTTGATCTTTCATTAATTCATCTGGGAATGTGAAACTTACGATGCTTTCATCAACATCATTTCCAGAAATGGCAACAGGACATATAGTGCTGAGAATCTTCTCCTCCACATCATCTAACACCTCAGTATAGCTGGGTCCACCTCCTGTGCGATGAACATATTTAATTTGTTCTGATTTTCTCTTTTTTGTCTTGGACCTGAAGTCTTGCCATGTCTATAAAATAAGTTTGAAATGTTATTAAAATGGACTAGTTGAATTGTTCTTGTGACTTGGGTCATCAGAGAATAATAAACATTGGTGAAAAAATCAAACAGAACAGTATCCAAGTTTACTCAAAAACTATTGAAAAAACAGAGATATTTCAGCTCTGGGTACAAATTCACCCCAAAACACTCACCTTCCTCCACTGTTTCCAATCCTTCCTCGCCCCAGGGACAGAATTTAATATTTCAGTTATTTCTTCCCATTTCCCTTTAGCATGTTCGAAAGTGAAGGACGCTTTGAATTTACCACTAATTAATTGTGAATATTTTTCATCCTTCAAAAGATCTACCAACATATTCTTTTGTTGCTGAGTGCAATGCTGTATAATTTTCTTATCGCTCATTACAAATATTGTTTGAACTTTCTTTAATTATAATCAACAAATTAACCAAAATTGCAATATGTCACAAACAAACCTAAACTGACAAACACGACATACAACAGTGACATACACCACATAAAACATCAATACCATTCATGGAACTACAGAAAGTCGAATGTGATACACTGTTGTCATATCGTATCCTTCGACAAATTTTGTCGCATGCGAAATTGAAGTCGATCGCGCAATGAGAATACGAGTTTTCGATGTCATACGACAATTGCGTTCGACTTTTGTCGCACACTACTATTTTCGCTCGACATTTGAGAATCGGCCCCCAGATCGTTTTGCCCCGATGGTAATGGCGCTTGAGCATAGCGGAATCGACATTACCACCGACTCCATTAAGTCAAAGTTGCTAGATATGCAATTAGATGGCGGCACTAGTTCGACAGGTGGGCTTTCGCTGGAAAAATAGGCAACCAGGAACGTCAAAGTCAAAGTCAGAATAGAAATAAAAATGACAGCCGCAGTAAAAGCAAAGATGACATCTTTGTTTTAAATGCAAACAGCCAGGCCATTTCATGTCAAAATGTCCCCAACCCAATCAAAACAAAGGTATTGATAAGCAAACAAAAAGTGCTTTCAATGTTGTTTTCCTCAGTGCGAATTTCAACAACAATGATTGGTATTTAGACTCAGGTGCGACTGTATACTTAACTTGCAGGCAGGATTGGCTATTGAAGCAAAGAGAACCCACTGTAAAGGACATGATGGTTGCAAATAATAGTAAAATCGCTGTGCAATTGAGTGGTGAAGTTGACATTCTTACGAAAGTTGGTGAAGAAAATCATTCAGTAGAAGTCATAAATGCTCAGTATGTTCCTGAACTAGCTACAAATTTGTTGTCAGTAAGTGAGCTTTTGAAAAAGGGTAATTCGGTGGGGTTTGACAGTGAGAGCTGTAAAATCTTCAATACTGATAAAGTTTTAGTAGCTAAAGCCTTCTTAAATGATGGTGTGTATAAGATTGATACTTCCAAAAGGTGCTTATTGGCTGGACAGGCTGTTGCTACTGGTAAAACATTGCATAGGAGGCTAGGTCATATGAACTCCAGTTATTTGAACAAAATGCAAGATGGTCTCGTGGATGGCATCAACTATGATGGTCAGGTGGAAATCACACTACAAAATTGCGAAGTCTGTTGTGAAGGGAAGCAAACACGTCAACCTTTCGGACAGTCAAGTACAAGAGCTACTGGTTTACTTGACGTAGTACACACAGATCTAGCAGGACCAATGGAGGTAACTTCCATAGGAGGTTCAAAGTACTATGTAGAGTTTCAAGATGACTGCAGTCGAATGTCATTTGTATATTTCTTTCTAGAGAAATAAAGGTCTTTTTACTGAGTTTCACGGGAGACCTATTGTGTCTTATTATTCCCGGTTTCTTCCCAAGAATCAACAAAGAGCTCGGTAAGTGCTTCATTTTTCATTCAAATATTCACGAAAATTAGGTACCTTACTTTGATTGTAGTATTCTAGGTTATGTTTTTGTCTTCGATTAATTTTCTTCACAATTCTCTCATCAAATTCAAATTCTATTAATTATCGAAAATTGTCATGAGATTTCTATTCAGATCCAATTTTTAGTCTGAAAAATATTCGATATTCTTCTATTGGATTGGTATTTCTTTCCAGATCTCGCAAGTACGAGGTTATGTAGCCATGAGCAATAATGAGTAAGCCAAAATATTTATCCAGAGGAGACCTGCTGGTTGACATGGTTTTATCATAGAAATCTCAGGCAACTGAGACGAAAGCAGATTCTGAGTAGAATAATAATGTACTGAAGGAAATTTGTGATATTCAGGGTACAGAATCTGTGGATGGCGAAACTTCATTTTCATCCCCTGATGAAAATATCTCATTATTGAATGAAATAACCGAATTGAAAAAACTTTGAATAATATACTCAGCAGAGGAGAAGGAGAAAAAAGATATAAATGAGGAAGTTTCATCGTTAGAACTGACTCTTGAACAAGAATTTCAGATTGATGGTGATGATGACATCAAATTATGTATTAGTTGCGACTCTAATTGATGATGATACTGATTTGAGATCTGATGAATCTAAATCAGGCTCAAAATCAAAGAATCATGAGAATATTTCGGATTAGAATGAAATAAGTCGATCTGTTTCGGAAATAGACGAGGATGATGGTGCTACTTCAGATCCAGATTTCTTAGAAACAGTAGGGAAATCAAGGTCGGAAACAGAGGATGAAGAAAACGATGCATCAGAAGAAAAGGAACTGAATGATTCGAACACTGAAAGAGGTGGAATCTGCATCTCAAAGAGGAAGCTTCCTCAGATCAAAAGAGCCAGAGACGAGAATAAAAGAGCTAGGATGTTTGGAAATGATTATTCGGGCCTGAAGAGAGATGTTGATGGTCATTTCAAATTGATGGCAAATAAAACCAAACGTTCCTTAGAACTCAGATGTTCCTCTCAGAAATGTGCATTTTCGAAATTCAGGTTCTGTTCTGAATTCGAAGAGGAAGAAAGATAACATATTTTCGAAATATTCTGGAAATCAACATGGAACATGAAGAAAACTTTTCTGACTTCAATGGTTGACATTGTTCCCAGCAAACGCAGGGTAGAAGGCTCTAGAAAAAATGGCACACTTAAAAAAAAGAAAAGAGAAGAAGCAGGTATGTAAGAAAATGTTTTTATCAACATTGAATATTGGAGAATGGATGGTAGGTAGATCAGCTGAATGTCACAACTCAAAATGAATCACATCGTTTCATTGGTCGTCAATTCTACTGTCACCAGTTGCAAACCAAAACAAAAGCACCCTTCGTTTGACATCCAACTGACAGTACTGAATCTGCTGATTTTTCATTCCGAAATCAAAAAATTCACTAAAAGTGACATATGCTTGTGAACAGACATACTATTCATTCCAAATATTTCGACTCAACATTCTGCTGAAATTGCTGACTATCAGAAGGTAGTGTGGCTTCAGTGAACTGTCATTATTTTAGAGTGGGAAGGAATGTAACATTTATTTCCGTTGTTAATGGTATAATTTTCAATTCCAGAAAACACCTGTTATAGATTTTATTGAAATAATAAACGCTGAGAATAATATGGAGTATGAAGTAGTAGAGGTAACGAAAGAAGGAGCACCATTGGCTAATTAAATAACTAAATAAACCTGAATTGTCTCTTTAATTCATCATTATTAATGCCATATTACGTTTCTCATAAATTTTTCAATTCTCAATCTGATGCAACATGAAGAATTAATGGCAACCTTATGTCCAAGTATTCTTCATCTCTCGAGCTTGAATCGTCATCGTCAACAATCGTAGAAACTATGGAGGCTACAAGAATCGATTGCTCTTCAATGTTAAATATTTAATCTCCAAAATTTATATCAAGCAGGAGGCTAAATATCTAGTTCAGATAAACGAGAAACTACAGACTGACAAATTTCACCAGCTGATTATCAACTGCTGCTGACTACTGATGAAAACCATGAAAACGTGTTTCAAATTACAGCACTGTATTTTTGATTTTATATTTCGGAACACAAATTTCCAGCAGAGTCAGTGGATCTACTGACAGTACTGACCAGTTGAATTCGGAATATAGCCAAAGTGTCACTTTTGATCCTAATGGAATAATCTACTATTATGTCTTTTCGTGTATTTGTCTTTTGTTTCCCACTTCATTTATCACTCCAATCTCAGAAACATCCTCTATACCTTTATATTTCGTGACGACTGAGGAATTTTTTCAACTTGCAAGGGATATATTGCATAAACTCTTTTTTCAGAAGTTATCTGCAGAACAGAAGTCAAATAACACAAAAAGCTCCGTCCCAAAAGTTGGAGTAAAGAAAACAGAATAATAAATGATAGAAACAGGAGAAGTACAGATGGATCGAGAATAATTTCACGGAAGTTTCTTTCAGAAATTCCTAAAATGGGGTCGCATTATTATCGAGCGGCTACAAGTGAACTCTATTCAGAGCCTGTATTTAAAAATGAGGCTGAATTTTTCTTGGACTACAGGAACTATTGCTCAGCCAGGAAAGTGAACCAGTTTTCGAGAAAGAGATGGATGAAGCCAATATAAAAATATATAAGCCACCTGAGGACCAATGTGATATCTGTATTTCCCACAAACTGGGAAATACTTCAGACCAGGGATATGTGGAGCACCAAGAAAAAAAGAAACAAGCTAGACGTTCGAAAACGGAAGACAAAGAAGAAGCTAGTAATAATCCAGAGAAGATGGCAGTTTTTTGTATGAACGCACAGGCAGTGACGTTATCTCCAGTTCTGCAGCCAGTGCTATTTATTATAGAACAAAACTCTGTGTTCACAAACACCCCACCTACAACATGATCCCCAAAGATGTTATTTGTCTTCTCTGAGGTGAATCTCAAGGTAGTCTCGATGCGAATATTTCCGCCTCTATGCTGACGTATTTTCTGTCCACTTATTTGACAGAAATGGAATCAACAGAAGAAATCATAATCTACAGTAACAGCTGTGGATACCAGAATAAATATCCATCACTCTGAATACATTGTCAGAACAGATTGACTCTAGCATGGGTACCAGCACATACAGGGCACGAGGGCAATGAAGAGGCAGACTCATTTGCCCGAGCAGGAGCAAACAAAGCTCTTAATGGCCCAGAACCCTTATGTGGTATTGCGAAAGCTATACAAAAGACTAGTATCAAATCATGGATGCAAACCAAATCTCAAGAATGGTGAAACAACTCGCCAGGAATGAGAAAGGCAAAAGAGTTTATTGAAAAACCATCGCCAACATTCACAGAATATCTACTAAGCCAGAAACGAAGAAGATCTGAAAAGGTCGCAGTGTGGAGGCAGATAGCCCGAAGGCCCCATTCCAAATCTAATCTAAATCTAATCACTCTGAAACAAGACCTCAGTGAAACTCCCTGATCCTTTATGTATCCCACTGAATATTCATATTTGGTTTTTCTTGCCCTTGGAAACACAATGCGGTCCGATTTTCATCT